CCACAACTCTTCTGATTGAGCATAAATGGTTTGCAATACCCAGGGACCTTCTGTCTTGGCTAGTTAGCACCCCATAAGCCATTCTCTGAGTCTGTTTCCCATGGAACAACTAATCTCATATGTTCTACTTCCAGGAGCAGATGTATAGTTGTGGTCAAAAAGTAATATATAATACAGCATGTCCTCAGTAAATGCTCCCTTTCCTCCAATTTTGTATATCTGCTTCCTTCTCTTCCCCCTCAAAATAAAAACAAAAACACTGAGAAAGCAGAGCCTCAGTCCAATGGCCTAGACTTTCCTTTTCTGTTTGTCTCCATTGGTCTGGTCAAAGTGCATTTCTACTTAGGAAATATACCTTAATTTAAATTGCAACATTACCCAAATTCATTTGAGAAATTCATTGCAGAATTTAAGATTATAAACATAAAAGCCAGTCAGGAAGTTTACGATCTTTGGCAATGTTCTGTGCTTGGGTGAAAAGACTCCAATGATGGCTGAAGGGTCTGGGCAGAACGAGTTACAGAGTGTTCCTTTACTGAGTCTGGTGTAGCTGAAGAACAAGAAATTTGCTTTCAGAAAATCCTTTAATCCCACATTGTTGTTGTTGTTATTGTGAGGTGCCCTCAAGTTGGTATTGACTCATAGCGGTCTTATACACAACAGAATGAAACACTGCCCGGCCCTGTGTCAACCTCACAACCACTGCTATGCTGAGCCCATTGCTGCTGCTTCTGGCCAATCCATCTCGTTGCGGATCTTCCTGTTTAATACTTGTATATCAAAAAGAGCAAGAACGCGGGTTCCAGAAAATTCCTCTATCCTACTTTATATACTTGTAAGCTGGTGTATTTGAAGAACAAGAATTTAGGACTGAGCTTTAGGTATTCCATTGTCTAACTGTGAAGGTTAAGGAGATTCACTTATGTTCTTAGTATCTAATTTCCTCAACTGTAAAATAGGGATCAAATATATTCCTCAAAGTTTATGATAAGTATCAAATGAAATAATGTGTGCAAAACACTTGAAATCTTGAGAATACACTCTCAGTAAATTTTAGCTGCCAAACAATAAAAACAAACCCACCACCATGGATTCCATTCTGATTCGTGGCAACACAGTATGACTGAGGAGAGCTGTTTCTTACAGTTTCAGAGACTGTAACTGTTGCAGGAAAGGAGCTCTGGTAGCGTAGTCATTATGAATTGGGCTGCCAACCTCAAGGTCAGCAGTTTGAAACTACCAGTGGTTCCATGGGAGAAGTATGAGACTTTCTGCTCCCATAAAGATTTACAGCCTCGGAAACCCTGTGCAGGATCACTATGAGTCAGAACTGACTCCACGGTACTTAACAACAACAACAACAATTGTTACAGGCACAGACTGTCTCAATTTTCTTCTGAAACACAGCTGGTAGATTGAACCTCAGACCTTGCAGTTACTAGCCCAGTGCTTAGCTCACAATGCCACCAGGGCTCCTGAGCACCACCAGGACCAGCATCTCCGTACATCAGTATGTTGTTGTTATTGTTAAGCACTGTTGAGTTGGTTCCAACTCATAGCAACCCTGTATAGAGTTTCTGAGGAGTGGCTAGTGAATTTGAACCTCCAACTTTCCGATTCAAGTCGACTTTTCAGTACAGTGTGCATTATTCCACAGTGCCACACCAGGACTATGGAAGACACATCACTATTGTTGTTGTTAAATGTCGTCAAGTCAGTTCTGACTCATACGACTCTATGTAGGGTTTCCAAGGAGCAACTGGTGGGTTTGAACCTTCTACATTGTTGTTCGCTGTCCAGTGCTGATCCTACAAGGATTGTTGTTGCTGTTGTTAAGTGCTGTTGAGTCAATTCTGACCAATAGTGACCCTGTATAGAATTTCTGAGGAGTAGCTGGTGAGCTTGAACTACCAATGTTGCAGTTGAAATGACCTTGCATTCCAGCGCATTAACACCTAGCACCAAACCAGGACTCCACAGTGATAGTTATTGTTTAATGGTCCACTGCTTATCCTACATGGCTATGAATCATCTTATAAAGAATAGATAGCACATATTGTAATATATATTATTCTTTATAGACATGTAGTCCGGAGGAAACAATCGTTGGAGAAGGATGTCATGCTGGGTAGGGTGGAGGGTCAGAGAAAAAGAGGAAGACCTCCAACGAGAT